AGTCGTAATCGTTACAGCCGTGGTTGGAATTGCAAGCTGTGCGGACTTGCTGAATGCGGAAGCATGTTACACTGCGGTTTCACACCTTCATTCATTCAATCTATTTAAAGACAAGGTGTTCACAACACCAAGGTTACTAAATCCTTGTAGCTCTTTTCTCTCGCAACATGTGCGAGGGACTGGCGCCCCCCCGCATTACGGGCCGCCTGGCGGAGACGCGCCCCCGCAGCATGCGCCTGGTGGAGACACGCGGCCCCCGCAGTACGCGCCGCCCGAAGGAAACGCGCCCTCGCCGCATGCGCCTGTGCAGCACGCGCCTGGGGGCAGCGCTCCGCCTCCTTTTGCTGCTGGTGGCAGCATTTCTTCGCGGTACGTTTTCGGGGATGGCGTCTTTCCAGCATCTTCTTCTCCAGCCGTGCCCCCTCCGATCATGAGCAGCTCAACCCCGCTTTTTGCAACGGGAAGCGGCGGCGCCTTTCAGCAAGCTCCCCTAATGGGACCGCCCCCTTCGCACTTTGAGGGTCCAGCCCTGAACCACGAACCTCCGGGCAGCGCTTGTGATGGGTTTCCCATGGAGGGCTGATCAGCGGGAGAGCCCGTGACACAGGCTTTTGCTTGGGTACGTGTACTCGCTTCCTAATTTTGTGGCAGATAGGATGTGTGCGCTGTAAGAAGAGACGCAAAATATCTTCGTTAAGCTGTGGGCCGAAACTTGATGCGAGATGTTGGTATGCTTATACTGCTTTGGTCGAAGGCTTGCTGGAACCTCGTGTGCTGAAGAGTCAAGACTGCCACGTTGGTTGATTCATTTTTCTGAAATCGACCAGACAGTGGACGCGTTACGAAATCTTGAGACATGGTGGCGTTCGATTCCTGCTTCGATTGATGCGTTTGAAACTGATTTATACCCGTTGGTCGGTCAAACTGTTGGGTTGATGTTGTGCAGGTGGTCCGTTGATTCAATGTCATTGGAGGATTCGTCGGAGTCATACAAAGAGGTTAAGCTTATTCGCAATGTATCTATTGTGATGCATCCTTTGAATTGGAACCTCGTGGGTAGAGAGTCGACTCAATAAAGCGAAAGGTGGACACGAGTTGTGGTCCAAGCAAAACAAGGTTTGTTTTGAAGATGGTCGGTGGTTATATTGGTAGGGCGATTGAATCTGGTCGAATTGGACGAACTGCATAGACCCACGAGTCTTTGTTTGTATGCTTGACGACGCACTTATACATGAGATTGCGCCAATGCATTCAGTCAGGAGCTAAGATTGCTTGCCTTTGCCTTCGTCAAGCACTGTGGTTTGGCCATGTTTGACTCGCACATGGCATGCATCAATCGCTGCCCTCAGTCAATCTATCATTTGAAAGACATACAGTATCTATCTTTCTATATTTGCTAGTCAAGGAAGGAGACGATGAGGCGCAATAATTAGCACACCCACATGATCGAGTCAGCAAAATTGTGTACTTACTCATCATTCCTCGCGCAAACATGCAGCACATAGAAGATCACAGGCTTGGAATGTATTTATCCGCGATCCTTTCGAGTCGAGCTCTAACTACAAATGCGTTATTTGTCAACGAAGCAAACCTCGTGGCATGCAAGCTTGCTGACAGTGCATGCGACAATTCTGATGACAACCTGATCATCGGATCATTGAATGAATCGATACTACACATCAGCGCATCGAGAATGCAAACAACATGTAATTCGATCAATCTTGAGATTCATTTTTTGTCTATTCTCTAGAATTCCAAGTTGATCCGATTTCGATTCAATGATTATACAGAGTACTTCGATCAGCAAGTCACCATCCAGCCCGTCGATCAGTCTCATGACTTGGATTAAGCGTAGCAACGGCATTGCAGTTCGTCTCTTTGAGATTCTATCACTATCTATTATTGTTCGCTATCCATTGAGCAAACAACGCTTCTCGATTAGCCTTTCCCCCCCTGAGCATTGCATTCTCGCTGCTCAGGTGCCGTTGCCCTGTCCGGCTGTTTGCGTAGTGCCTCCCATAGGGAACCGCCCCAGCCAAGTCTGTCTCCCGCAATTGGCAGATGTTATGAAGCACGACACAGGCCACTATCACTTGAGGGCAATACCGCTGGGTCACGTTGAGGTTTTTCAAAATCCGCCAACGGCCTTTCAGAATCCCGAACGCGTTTTCAATCATCACCCTCCCAGCTCTAAAAGCTTTGTCAAAAGCATTCTGGTCAGCAGTCCCCGTTCCCCTAGCAGTGAATGCTTTTAAGCAGAACATGGTCAACGGGTACGCCGAGTCGCCCGCAAGATACGGGCGGATCACCCTCCCATTGACAATCTCTGCTGGCTGGGTTAAGAGTTCCCCACTCTTGAGTTTCCGGAAGAGCCTGCTGTCCCGAAAGTGCTCTGCATCATGCGTACCTCCAGGAGCATTGACTGAGACATCCAAGAAGATCTTGCGATGATCGCAGACTGCTTGGAGGAGTAGGCTGAAGAAGTCATGGCGGCACCAATAGTCAGCGGGGCCAAACCGTGCCGGTGGTTTTCTCCAGAGCTTGATACGGTGGCTTCCATCGATGGCGCCAATCATGCACGGCAGTCCAGTCAGAGCTTCAAAACCAGCCATTATGGCGGCTGCTTCTTCAGAGTTTGGGATTCTGATGAATTCAGGGTATAGGTCCACAGCAAGGGCCCTTGTGACAAGAGTCGTATAGTCAGTGTCTGTGCTGGCCCCTACGTTGTACTCCTCTGCAATCCTCTTGGGAGCGTGTCCATGAGCTAGACGATAAATGACCATTGCTGTGGCTCTTTCTGGCTCTATGGCTTTCCTAAATTTTGTGTCGTCCTTCTGAATGAAAGGCTTAACCTGTTCAGCTATGAAGCAGAAAAGTGGCCAGGACATTCTGTAGGTCTCTTTCCACTTCGCATCCCGCGTTTCTGGAGTGATCATCCAGACAGTATTCTGAACAACTTCCCACGTTACCTTCTGCCTAGGGAACTTCCACCATTCCCGTTTACGCTTGCGGGAGGCCTCTCTCTGTTTGATGATGAGAAGAAGCGTCATGAAAAACAGCATGAAGAAGGGGATGATACAGGAACGGGTTAGATCTGCGTCATTTACACGATTGGTTTTCATCCTGTCAATGGTGGTTGTCACGTCTTCCATGACCAGATCCATAACCAGCCTGTCCACCTGATCCATAAGATCCATGCTGTTTTCAGGCCCTTGCGCCAAGTCCCCTTTCCTCTATTTGCAGATCTGGACAGCACAGAATGCCGAATGCAGGAGAGCACAGAATGCATGCTCTACCGATGTATATAGGTGGTGCTGACTTATAATAGGCGTCAAGCTCGTATGCAGGGCACGTGTACAACGCCGAAACCGCCGGACCAGTTCGGCGCCGCCGGCAGAATCTGCCCTGTGCGAACAAGGCACCTTTTCCGGGCAAAAAATCGAGAAACCGGCGCAGGGTCTGTCCGGCGCCGCCGGCAAAAATAAGGTCAGGTGCGAACATGCTATGAGACAGGACTGTCGATCCAGCTCCGATCCGATGGCTTCATGTCTGTCAGGATTCTGTTTGCAAGATTGCAAATGTCAGTGCTTTGCAATGCTTGCTGACCAGTCAGTGAAGAGCAGCTACCCAGTGAAGATTTGCAGTGACCGATCTGACTATTCTTCAGCTTCCCAGTTGGTACAAGGTGTTGCAACTCAGCTCACGTGCTTAGCTAAGGTGCAGCTGGTCCGGGAGCTGGGAAGTTGGTCAATCAAGTTGCTGATCAGCACTACAACATTGCGCAACATCTGCCAGCTGCTGTAGTAGCTTGGCTGTGACTAGAGGAAATGGAGTCACTGATATTCGATCCTTTCCAGCTCAAGGACAGGAATGGGGAGTTCACAGTTTCAACAGCGTTTTTGCCTCACGATCAGTGCACTCTTGGTGGAAGTGGTGCTTGTACTGTGGCAGCATTATACCTTGTTGAAGCCTTCAAGCATCTCGCAGGCCGAAGTGTTGGTCAGCTGCCAACGCCTGAGCACTACTCACAACTCTGGCAACTTGCGATTCACAAGTGGAAGCATGTGCAACAGGCTCAGTACACCCCAACAACATCTTATGGCCAGGAGTTTCCGGACGGCTATCTTCCAGTTAACATTGCCCTCAGAGCAACCGGTCTGCCAATCAGGGAGTCGTTTTCAAAAGTGGTGGTGAGCGTCGATGTCACAAGCTTGCCTGAACCTATCAGGGCTGTCCTTGCCACCTGGGGTCTTACTAGCTCCTTCACTGATCTGTTTGGAGACGTCATAACAAATGGGGGAGGAACAGGAGAGCAGTCGAATGAGGGTTTTCGACACTTCCTTCTTGTCCACTGCCGGCATACATTTGTTCTCAGCACTAGGTCCAAGTGTAAATGTGGCAGCGCGCACGGCCCCGAAAGTGGGGGCTCAAGCTGCGCAAGCGAAGCCTACGTTACTGACAGCTTGGGCTCCACGCTCGTGGAGAACGGCACACAGGGATACGTCATGAGTTTCACGGGGGCTGCCGGCAGCTGTGCTTTGACCGGAGCGTTGAGAGCGCTTATGCGGGTTCGAAAACAGGAGCAGGGTTCATGAGCTGAGAGGTGGAGAGAGCCCTGCCGGGACCTTGTATGAACATATGGCTGTGGAGTTCTCAGAAGTTACCCATGATGCGGCGCTGCTCCCAAGTGTAACCACTGGAGGTCCTTCTTTGCCCACAGTTCAACAGGTAAGCATGAGCTCGCAATCTGATATTCATGGGAAATTACCTTGAGGCTTGTTGAGAGCTCACACATGACAAACTCTGGTAGGAGGCTTCAAAATTCCTCCAGATTATTTGAATACTGCAACCTGGCTCAAGCACGGCTGGCATGTGTTTTTGAAAGTCATTGTCATGCAGAAGGGTCCTGGTTCTGAAACGTCCCTCAGATTATAATACTGCAACAGTCCTCCTCGGTTGGTAAACCCTATATCTTGGAGTGTGCGACGCTAGGTCAAACAGGTGCGGTCAGCATAAGGACTGCGTCGGCCGTCCCGGGGTTTCTTTCATTGTGTTCAAATGAAAAGCTTTGTTGAGGTTTTACAGATTCTCCCAAATCCTAATCGGTTTTCACCATTGAGTCACTACAAGAACTAACAGATTCAACAGCGCCCACTGAATTTTTAAACTTCAAAGCCTGACCGTTAAAGATTGTGAGTTTCCAGACTCTGAACAAGGCCTTCTGATCTGATGTTAAGACCAAAAGAAGTTTGTACTCTCCTTTTACAGGCCTACTTCGGCAGTGGGGTCTCCATGGACGTGGGTCCGGCTGATGGTATGACCACGCCCCTCAAATCAAAGCCTCCGCGGGCACCGTCAAGCCAAGCAACAAGGGTGAGAATTCAATGTCTGGAGCAAGAGACACGACTTGCAAGTTCCCTAACATCGATTGTCCCGTTTCTTCATTTTGTGCTCGCTCACATAGAGCCTGCCCATCATGCAGACCCTTATAACTTGATCAAACTTGACGATTCGCAAAGGTGGGCTTCTAGATTGGCGCTTGAAACACAACGGCTTCTTCTTACTCTCGAGTTCACTCTTCCGACATGCTATGCAGTCGTCACTAACAGTAAATGTCAAGCTGCTCTTCGAGTTACCGGTTGGGAGACCCAGAGTTCCTTACATTGAAAGCGCTGCCCAAACAGAAAAGGTGTACTCACGATTTAATTATCTGCATTATATTATGCAGACCCCGCGCCGCGCATTTGACCAGGCCAACCCGTCTGCTCCTTCGAGCCCATCAATCAAGGTGGCACAGTCGCCTATTCGGGCATCACCTCGCCAGGCTTACAAGGTACGGTGGTTCATGGCTGTGAGGATCGCTTGCCCGGAAATTTGTCAAAGCTAGTTATTGCTTGACCTGAACGCTTATCTGATGCAATTCGGAAGATCGAGCTTGCCTCGAAGCATCTAGGTGCCGGTTCTTGCTGCTTACATTTTTAGCTTCGTTCTGATCTTTGCTATCGAAGTCAAGACACTCGCATGTTCAGAGCAACCTTCGATGAAGATTACTTCATTGAGGTCTGAAGTCGTCTTGAAACGATTTTGCAGGAGCGTTCAAGGGTGTTCTCGTCGTGGACAAGAGTTGGCCCGCGTCGTGATGGCGGGTCTTCAACCATGAGCCCGACGAGAGAGAAGAGCGGGTCAGAGCCAGTCTCGCTTCAAAACAGCTTCAACGCTCTCCTTAAACTGGAGACTGGAGAAGCGGAACCCGTTCCGGAACCGGAAAAGAGAGAGTCGGCCCCTCCTTTTACTTCCGTCTTCGTCCAAAACATCTCTAGACGGGAGATCATTTACCAGCTTCCTCTGCTCAAAGCCGAGACAGTCTCAGCTTTCGTAGGGAGAGTTTCGACGCGATTCGATTTGCCGGAAGTGCGAGGTCGGAAAGTCGAGCTCCGTTTACAGTCCCACTCTCTCCCTATCTCAAGCTTAGACGCTTCCTTGGAAACAACTTCGGTGCGACCAGGAGAAACCGTCGAATTCGAAGCATATCTCAAGTGTTCCCGGAAAAGCCATCTACAGCCCCTGTCGTTTTTCTCAATGCTAAAAGGGGGTCGCCTGTCAAAAGCCTGCATCGAGTGTGATCAGTCGGGGAAGTCTGGGGAAGTGCGAGAAAGGAAGGGTGGTACTGCACCGCCCCCGCAGGGAGTACCATCAGGAGAACGGTGGTGCGCGGGCTGTAAAACTTTCAATGCGGAAGCGGAATTCGGAAAGAAGAAAAACTGTAAGACTTGTTACCTCCGTTCTGAGAAAAACAACAAGGCCCGGGCCGAAAAGAAACGTGCTCAAAAGCAAGGAGCTCCGGACCAGACGGCAGCGGAAGAAGTAGAGTTTGGGGTCGCTCAGGTCCCGCTTGCTCCGGGGGTGGTCACACCGGCGGTGCCAGAAGCGGAAACCGTGCCGGTCATGAAGGATGACGCCGAAGGCGCGCCCGTTGTGAAATCTTCAAGGGCCGGGACGGTCGAAATGCCAGTCGAAGTAAGTTTCAAGCGTTCTTTGGACACCCATTATTGACCCTCATGATAGCATTTGCTGTCATGCCGATTATTGATCCTGTACTTTTGTCGAAGCTTACCGGTAGCGGGCGGTTTCGGTCTCAGGCGTTCGCTTCTCCGTTGCCTTTTGAGTGAAACTTGCATCTTTGGCACTGTAAAGAAGTCACTTCCACTGAAATTGGATGCGGAAGGCCAGTCAAGCATCTTTGATTGGATCCGGTAATGACATATCAGTCAAACAGGAACCTACTGCCAATAACACTCTTTTCGAAGGAGTGCACTATACACAGCCATCCATTTCTCTGGATTGAAGGTGAGCGAACGGTGTGCGGTCAGGACTGGAACACTCGGATTGATGGATGAGCATCGATCTGAAAAGTGTCTCCATTATTTGTCAGGTTCTGACCTTCGCTTCGGAAGAAGAGTTCGAGGCATGGAAGACTAAGCAAGAGACGAGTGGCGGCATCGATCTGCTGTCGCATCGGGATCAGCCAAGCAAGCTTATTGACACGGGCCTTCCCTCATTCATTGCCCAAGATCCAACGACTTGGGTTGTGAAAAGTAGTGTGTGCATCCGGTCAAACGCGACTTTCAGATTCCGCGAATTTAAGTGCATGTGCCATGGTAAGTCAAAGGCGAGGTCGTTGCGCAATCAACCAAAGCGGGGGGCAGTAAAGGTTGTGGCTGGGACATCCAAAGCTGTTGGGGGTGAGACCGCTCAGGATGTTTTCCTTCGTCAAGCCAAGGAGGACGAGGAACGGGGTCGCCGCCAGGCGCGGAAAGGTCTCGAGGTTAAATTTACCAACAAACTGAATTGCAAGTACCGTTTTACAGCAACTTCAGCGGTGACATCAGCCAGGTGGGTTGTCTGTAAGCTGAGAGTAGGCCGTACGTACGTATGGCTGGGGACTTGAGGTCGGACACAACTGCTTGAGCTTCTTTTCAGATTCTTACCTCTCTAAGGAACGAACTCAGAGTAATCCGTCAGTCCCTCTGCGTCATGTGCAGCCGCCTCGACACTTGCTTCCACTTCCCTGGTGCCGACTCGAATGTGTCAGAGCTAACAGGATTCCCGCTCGTCATTGAAGTTACCGCTTCTACATAGCTTTCAACATAGTAGACAATTTGCACCTGAGCAGAACGACCGTTTTGTGAGTCGACTTGCTTCAATCGCTCGACAAGGTTCAAAGAGCACTTTCGCTCCTCTCCGCTACTCTAGTCAACGGCTGAAAGTATAGGCCCGGTCGCTCTCAGCATTGAAAAGCCGGTTAAAGTATCTACGAACATTGAGTAACTTAATCATCTTTCTCTCCTGAACATCTTATCCTTTTCTCTCAGGAACGGACGTGCTATCACTGTCAGGGTCTTTGGGACGCACCTACCTGCGTGCGGAGAAGCCCACTCCTACCGAGGCCTGGACAAAAGCTTGTGTCTCTCTTTCTTAACTTTTGATCCTTTTCTCTCAGGAGCGGAGGTGCTATCACTGTCAGGGTCTTTGGGACGCATCTACCTGCGTGCGGAGAAGCCCACTCCTACCGAGAGGCCTGGATAAAAGCTTGCGTGTCTGGATCAAAATGTTGCTAGACCTAGGGTGCTCTCCCGGGGAAATTGTTGACTACATCAACACACCGTCGACACTGCCACAAGGCATACTACCCCCGCCGGGCCCATCTCAAGGTACGGCAAGTGACGTTGATTCAGTCTTGGGGCCATCGAGTTTCATGTCCAAGCTTTTAAGCGTCTGCAAGATTGCCCAAACAAACTTGTTGCAAGACGAAGTGCTCTTCAGATTGAGCTGGCTGAATGGGTGCCCCAACTGGCTGAAATAGTTGGGGAATCTGAAGTTGGAAAGAATCTCCGAACCTGGGAAATTGGAAAACGCTTGTGTCCGACATCCGTCACAGCCTGTTGCGAAGGGATGGAACAAATGCATATTGCTGAGGTTGACACGAATACAGGCATCTCCAGACTTCATTCAACATACCGAAATCTCTGATTTGATGCAAGGTGGCGAAACGGAGAAATCAGATCCACGGTGGTCTCCACAAGAAAAAGATGTGAAGAACATGCTTCAGTCGATTCGGCGCGGGAACTATCTCAATCCGGATGATCAAGCAGCCACTTACGAGTTCCTCAAACAGCACTGTAAAGCTACGGCTGATTGTCGTCACAGCCCAGAAGGACCGAATCTAGAGGTTCCGGTCTCCGAAGAAGAGCTTGATGTTTTAAGCTACCAGGAGTTCCATTGTCAATGTCACGACGGTCCTTCTGAAAACGAGTTTACGAGTCAAGGGAACAAGAGATTTGCGAAGCAAAGGGCGAAGGAGAAAGTAAGAAAGCAGAAGTGTGAGCATAGCGCGCAATGTAGCCCCTTCATTGCTGTCCTGCAAATTCCGTGGCAGCGGCAGGTTTTAAAAGATTTGCATAGTAAACGACTTGCTGACGTGTTCTGCTTAGACGCAACCGGTCAGACAAACCAGTACAGGTGGCCGCTATCGGCGATAGTGTTGCCAGATGAGCAGGGGCATGCGGTCCCAATAGCCTTTATGCTCAGTTCGACCGAAAGAGAGGAACCTCTAGAAGTCTTCTTTCGAGCAATTCAGCAGGCATGCCCAGAAACGTTTAAGCCCCGAGCATTTAGCATTGATATGAGCGACGTCGAAATAAACGCCATTAGGAAAGTTTTCGGAGATAGTGTAGACATTCGTATCTGCTTCTTTCATGTTATGCAGGCTTGGGAGCGATGGTTAAAGCGATCGGTGAATAAAGTATCTGAACAGCAGAGAATAGCAATCCTCATGATGATCAGGCAGATGAAATTAGCTCCCGACGCAGAACGGTGGCAGAAAGCTTATGACCTCCTAGTCGCGTATCTTAATTCTGAAGACTTAGAGCAGGTTACAGTGCACTTAAAGAGGGATTGGATAGGAAGCAACCAGAAGAGACCGCTTTATAAGATTTGGTGCAACGCCTTTCGTACTAAAAAGGTCAGGTGCTGGTTTAGAATAGAGACAAACAACCTTGTCGAGCGCTTTTTCAAAACGCTGAAGTGGCGGTTCTTGGAAGGTAAAAATAACAAGAGACTAGAGCGTGTTTTGAAGGTTCTCACAATCGAAGTGCAAAACTTCTATGTCAGCAGGCGAAAGCACATGCTCAGTGGTCGCAAAGCGAACTGGAAGCTGTACGAGACTGTCTTGGACAGGGAAAGAAAGGTAAGCTCTCTTTTCGGTGGCTCGCGTCCTGCCAACTGAAGCCAATCATCTACGTGCTGCCAAGTTAGACAGTCGCTTAAAGTCCTTTAGTTCAAAGGAGAGTTCAATCTGGCTCCAGACTCGACTCCGAAATTCTGGTGCATGTGATCGTGAAGCAAAGCTTAGTGCACTCCGTTGAAGATTGGGTGTCATATTGAGATGAGCGGATCCAAAAGATGTCACCTATTGACTATGATCATGTCCAGTGCATTATGCGGCCCACTTTGAATCAGAAGCGCTTTCGTTTTATTGACAGCAAGAGTCGTTCTACCGTTGGGAAAGCCCAAGCTTCTCTCTTTGCAGGCTCTTAAACTCTCTGAAACAGCGGGTGCAATCAACATTCTAGATTATCAGTCCGGTCATGCAATGGTCGCCTCTAAGGCGGCGATCCTGAAGCTGGCTGAACGCCAAGAGCAGTCTGCTGGAAATGCCCCCGAGCGGCTCGAGAAGATGTTCACCGTCGTGTTACGAGGCGGATTCTGTGACTGCGAGGATCCAAGTGGGCTTCTGTGCAAACACATCCGGGCTGCGGCAAGGTCAGATCGTCAGGCCTTTCAGCTTTGGGCTTCGACTGTCAAAAAGGAACTTTGACGGTACCTAAGGTTGCAGATTGTTAAGACTGCATCAGATGATTGAAGCAGATATTTTGGAAGCCTCTTTTCCTGTCCTCCAATCAGCTTAATTAGTGTTGACAATCAAGCATACCTTCGAAACAGCACATGAGGTGGTGCAAAACAACACGTAGAATGATGGGGCCTTGGGGGTTTCTTGATGACACGTGTCTTCAATCACTTTGACCCGTTTATTTCTCTGGACTATAAAAGTGCATTGGAGAAGGCCCCATCTTCACGTGCTAATGTTTCATATGAGAAGAGGACCTTCTTGATGTGGGCCCCAAAGGTGCTCACCCTCGGTCTTACGTGCAGGATGCTAGGTGGCCTTGAAAAGTGGAACCTCAATCTAGATAACTTAAGGGAAGAAGTACTGATGGAAGTTAAGTCCGCTGAGATGGAGCAGCAAGAAACGTATGCCTCTAGCCAGGCCCCAGGAGCGTTTACGGTGGGGGTGGATTCCGACGTAGAGGACGGGTATGAGAAGGGAGTAAAAGAGCATGGCGAAATTGCGTCGTTGAGACGCGAGTTTCATGGAGTGTTGGATAAGATTGGCAGGGTAGAACCTTGGACAAATGCCAAGGGACTTCTGAAAGAGGTGAGCGTTCGATGCCCTATAAGGCTGGTCCACTCATGTACGAGTCCTCCAGGTTCTTTACAAAGCTTGCTCCACTTGCTCGAGCTCAAAAAAGTGTGTTGGTCGGGGTTGGCAAAAAGCTGGTTGTCTTCTTGCGCAGGTCAAGGAGGTGATGTCTCTATCTGGCTTCCATATACATTAGCAAAGAATGTTATAAAGCGAAGCTTGTCAAATCTAGGAGGAACCCAGCTCGAGCACTTCTCCAATCTGCAACTACAGTCTTTCAACATGCTCGGTCCATCTTCTGGCCGCCTCACGGCCTCTTTCTTTGCTAGTACTGGTGAAGAACGGAACCCTTTTGTGAGCGTACTTCGTGTTTAGCAAAGTTGGAGACGACCAACATTTCGGTCGACCTATTCCTGCTCGCTCTTTCTGACCCCGGGTTGGACTGAGACCTCTGAACTTCTTATCTAGGTACTGATTCGAGTGAACGCTGACCTGAGACAAGAGGAGCGCACCATTAAAGCAAAGTCCTTCACCCAGTTCCGGAAGAAAAAGAAGGGGGGAAAGCGGAAGAGAGCGGCCGAGGACGAGATGGAAACGAAAGATCAAGCGAATGCCAATACGGCAGTAAGTGACCTTATCAGGACTCTCAAACTTTCTGATGCACATCCAAGCATCTTTCTATCTGCTTCGTGAAGAAATGTTTGCAGATCGAACGTTTCAGTCCGTTCCTTGTCTACGAAGTAAGAGTGACGAGCAACTTTAATAGTGAGCCAACCTGGCAAAAATATTGTCCGAAACGTAGATCGCGAGCACTCCCTCGACATGCATATAGGCTTGAAACTTCGCCCCGCTCACGTTCAGCGTTTCGAACCGGAAGTATATTGTTAGACGGAAAAGGAATCTGTCTAAAGGATTATCTAATATCATTCTCGCTTCTTGTGACGGCGGGGCTAGTTAGCACGCCGTTGGACTGAATACACTTACGGATGTCAGTCTGCTTACACATGTGCGGAAACCATGGGCAAGCTTTACAGCCAACAGACAAGGAAGACACGCGAGAGCGCCTCTCTGTAAAAGTGTTGCTTGATGCTTCCAAGTTCTGTCTGCTGTGTTCCCACTCACGAAGAGGCTGGTCGCAGAAACTTGACTCTTTGCATACGCCTTGCGGTTGCCCAGCAAGACTTGCTAACTCCGTAGCAGAAA